GGGGAGGTAAATTATTTCCCGAAGATAGAAGAAGGCTGCGTGAAATAGACTAAAAGCTAAATACAATCATACAAACGTTTGTTTTATTTCTTGTTGCAACAAATATGTGCATATTATTATTTATTAATATGAACAAGTCATACAAATTAAATGTTGATTGTTGGTTTTACCATACTGTGTGGACTTTGCATTCATTTTTCAAGTTTCCACCCCCTGTCACGTCCATGTTACTAAACCACGCGAGATTTGTACGAAATGTTTTGAAGGACTCGTAAGCAACTTACATTTTACAGGGTGATAAAATGCTGCATTTCGCATATTTCATTTGTATTTTTATTTTAATACCCTTGACAAAGGGTTAAATTTGTTATTTGTGTAATGGATATGGCGTGAATGGAACAATAACGAGGCCGAATTGTTGACAACCTGCACGGGATGACAAAATGGCGCCGAATGTGGACAAAGTTGTGGATTTACCTTGTCGATGGTTAAACAACTATGATCTATTTGAAACCAATTTGAAACTTGTTTAAAATGTTCTTGATACCATTATGTGTGAGATGATATACATTTTTGTAAGGATGTGGACGAGATCGCCGTAAAACAGCGGAGTAAAGTGGAGAACTTGGCCAAATACGTCCATTTGCGGGAGGTAGGCACATTTCAAATTATTATTTCGGTCAGAAAATATTAACTATATTTTACACCAAACCAGTGATAATATATTTAAACTAGAAGTTACTATCGCAAGGAAAATGCTGCCTCACCCCCAAGGGATGGCACCATGCACAATTTGCTGAATAAGGGTGTGTTTATACAATCCCGCTTCGCCAGGACGAGATATGAGGCAGGATGATTTCGATGTATTGAAATGAGTCACAGTGCACAATTCAGCAAAAAACATTACTTTTCTAGGGATAGATTATAGTTACTGTAAACGAGAGGTTGTTCAAGTTATAATCTTTTTGAACTACAAGACCTTGTCTACAATATTTGAGTTCTGTTAACAAGCATTTGAACTTTTGTTTAGCCTAGTGACTTATTCCAATACATCAAAAATCATCCCAACTTCCATCATGTAAACAGGAAAAGTCGAAAGATCAGCGAAATGTATATGAATACATTCAATGCTTATAACTTCTTGCTTTTGTATGTATAATTATAACACTGTCAGCCTGTGAAGCTGACATAGCAACAGGTCACGCTATGTAAGCTTTTAATATAATGATTTGCATTATTCAAATAGATACAGGTTTATTGGCATGGCATGACCAGTTGCCATGGTAGCTAGCTTGCCACTGAATACCGTAGAAAATCATTCTATATATAAACGATAATACTTGAATGAATCATTTGACATGTAGAATTTAATAATAATTCCATATATAGAAATATTAAGTCAGTTTTTGTTCCAATTATCGTTTTAATGCAATAATGACACCTTCAATGCTACCCCTATTGCAAAACAACTGAACAATCTGCTGATGCTTGATGGAGAGAGTTTCAGCCCGGACTGAAATTTCGGCCTGGTTTGAGCTGCCCAGGCTGAAATTTCAGCCCGGGCTGAAAAAACAACCGTTTAAATGGCTTTATTTTGCATGTTTGTTTCATCTTTAAATACTTTACATATAACCACAGTCTCACACTGCGTGTTTGTTTCATCTTTAAATACTTTACATATAACCACAGTCTTACACAAGTCAAATAGTCAACTAATCAGCATCTGATTGCTTCGAAGAAGCATAACAGGCTTATTGTCCTATTTCGTGACACTCAGAGTATTTCACTCAGCCCGGTCCAACATTTCAGCCCGGGTTGACTATAAACATAGCTCTGACTAAACTCAGTCCAGGCTCAAACTGCTCATGTAATCGTAATGCAATTTCAGCTCATTTTAGGGGCCGATTACATGGACAACTTTCAACCCCGGGGTTGAACTCAGCCCTGTTAACCGGGTTAAAAATTTTTGCGATTACATGGGCGATTTCAACCCCGGGGTTGAAACGCTATACATACATACATACATACTTTATTGTGTTCCCTAAATAGGGATTTTCAACACTGATTTACAAAAAATAAATGTTGTTCTATTTACAAGTTTTAGAATCTAGAATTTAAATTAAGGTAAAAAGGTAAGACATTTGTATAAAGTTTAACAAGGTAAAGTTATCTACTTATATATTTGTTCTAGCATGCTTCGCTTCAATTCGTTTTTGAAAGTTTTTAGGGAGTCTAACTTTTTGTACTTAATGTCCAAATCATTCCAGAGTGTAACGCCTCTATAATGGAAAGACCTTTGACCTGCAGAAGTTTTGTACAATGGTATTTGCAGTGAGTCATGGCTACGTGTATCTCGTTGATGAAAGTCAGAACGTTTTGTGAATAAATCGCTCAAATAATGTGGAGCAAGTTCATTGACACATTTGTACATCATAATAGCCTCTCTTAGTAGTAATTGTTCCTTTACTGGGAGCCAGTTGAGTTCGCGTAAGCCCGGCGAAATATGGTCGAACTTTCCAATATTTGTTATTATCCTGCATGCAAAATTTTGTACCAACTGTAGTTTCTTAATGTTGGTAGACGAAGTGTTTGACCAAACCGTTGAACAATAGAACATTTTGTTCATTACAAGTGCCGAGACGATGAGAGTTAAAGCTTCTTTATCGAAACATTTTTTGACTCGGTTTATTTGGCACAGGGAATTCATACATGAGGAAACCAGGTTGGTGATGTGCTGGTCATATGTCAAATAAGAGTCGATTGTCATTCCTAGATCTTTGGCAAAGGAGACGGGGGTAATAGTCTCGTTGAGGAAGTTTATGGTCATATCTTCGGGAAGTTGTTGTAGGTTTTGCCGTGTGCCAATCAGCATGTATTTGGTCTTTCCCGGGTTAATAAGCAATTCATTTTCGGAAACAACTGTTTGCAATCGAATACAAATCTTCCTCTAGTTGTTGCTTTAAACAGTCCACGTTAGCCACAGTGAAAGATAGTAATATCTTGGAGTCGTCCACGTACGATTCAAGTTTACTATGGTGGACTGATGAGGGCAAATCGTTAGTATAAATACTAAAAAGTAAAGGTGATAAAATTGCACCCTGTGGTACACCATAAGAAACAGGGAGAGGAGTAGACACAGTTGATCCAATTCTGACTGATTGAGTTCTTCCGGTCAAGTAACTGTCAAACCATTTTACAACGCTTGGAGAAGCCCCGACGTTGCTAAGTTTTGTAAGGCGAAAAGTATGATTTACACTGTCGAAAGCTTTAGATAGATCTATTAGAATCAGTGCAGTAACCAATTTCCCATCCATGGCCTTTAGGATAGTATCTCCGGTCAAAAGATTCAATGTTTCGCATGAGTGATGTTTCTTGTTCCCGCTCTGGTGGGTTGACAATTTTTTGTTCTTCATTAGATACGAACCGAATTGATTCAAGGCGACTTTTTCACAAATTTTCGAAAGAAAGGTAAGGAGAGAAAGTGGGCGGTTATTTGATGCTTCCTCGTGGTTTCCATCCTTTAACAAAGGGATAACTTGTGCCTCTTTCCATGCTATAGGGAACGAAGATGACGACAGTGAACAGTTAATGATATCGGTGAGGGGCCCAAGAATTACCGGTAGGCTGTGTTTGATGACACGCATACTCACTTTGTCTTTGCCGGGTGATTTGTTTGACGGCATAGCTAATATGATGTTCCTTATTTCTGAACAAGAGACTGGGGTGAAACTAAATCTATCATTTTCTTCAGGGTAGCTGTTATCTGTGCGATTTACGTCAGAAAGATTCCGAGCTGGATAAACACTAGGATCTTGTATTAGTGTTGAGGCTTTCTTTGCTGCATTCACACCGATGGTGGAAAAGAAATGATTAAACTCTTCGGCCACTAATTTCGGTTCCTTACTGTAGACCACTGACTCTCTTTCCCTATACGCTATATTTTCTTTAATTACCTTCCAAAGTGACCCAGTATTGTTTCTGTGTTGCTGAACTTCCTTCAGTACATATTCTTTCTGTGCATTAACAAGTGCGGTTTTTGTAAAATTGCGGGCCTCTCTGAAATTAAGCCAATCATAATGATCACGTGTTTTCCTGAAAAGACTGTGGAGCTGGTCTCTTTTGATCATGGATGCTTTTATTTCCAGGGTGATAAATGGGCAAGATTTTCCGCGTACTTTTATGGTCTTTACTGGGGCGTGTTTATCCAATGTATTTAAAAATATTTCATTAAAAATGGTTAGTTTTTCATCAACATTGTCCATTCTGAAAATGGAAACAAGACGATCACGGTTGGATGCCAGATCGATCGCGAACAAATCAGGGTCGTATTTATTGTAGCTGCGGGTAGTGATATAGTTTGGTGGAGATTTGTCGGTTTTAAGTTTTAGTGATACATACACAGGGAAATGATCGCTGATACAGGTTTCTATGACGCCGCTGTTGACTACTAGTCTTGGCGAGGATACGAAAATAACGTCGACGAGGGTCTGACTGGATTCAGTAATTCTTGTTGGTGATTTTATTAACTGGTTAAGATTGAGTTCTTTTGTCGTCTTGATCAAAGACGCTGATCCAGGTGTGGGCTTAAGCATATCGCAGTTTAGGTCTCCAAGAAGAATGATCAACTTTCCCATCGTCAAAGCTTGAACATAATTAGGTTTAAAATATTTTTCGAAGCAGTCAAGCGGGCTGTCTGGGAGTCGATAAGAGACGCGGACCAACAGTGATTTAGATTTTTTGTGCTGTAATTTGATCCATAATTGATGGAAATTCGTCTCGGAGATATAACTGAGGTCTTTAAGTACAAGAGATTTAATATCTTTTCGTATGTAAGCACATACCCCGCCCCCTTTCTTGTACAGTCGGTCTAAACGATGTAGCTTATAACCTTCGATTTCTATTTCCTTGTTTGTGACGGAGGTATTTAACCATGTCTCTGATACTGTAAGGACGTCAATTTTGTTAAATTTGGTAAACTTACGTAATTCTAAAAAATGGGCGTTGTTTTTCAGAGAGCGGATGTTTAGGTGAACCAGTTTGAGACCTGGAAGGGTACTGAGGCTGTTATCTGACTTTTTTGTTAAATGGGCTGAGGCCGTATCATTAGTGGTTTTCGACGTGAGTGACCACGAGAGTGCGGAAGCGTTTGGAGAGGCAGGGTTGGACAAAGGAACACGAACAAGATTTCTATTTTGCAAGTTATTGTTAACACTAAAAGAATTATTAATGGTTAGTTGATATGATAGTCTCTGGCGTGATGGTCTCTGACGTGAAGTGATTCTAACAGGTATTTTCATCATATTGTCTGCTGCTGACTCGTCAAACAGGCCACTGTGTGGAGATGGGCCAGCCACTCTAGAGAGTGGTGGCGGTGGGCTGTCCGATACGAAGGAATGACACGACAACGTTTTAAAAAAGGATACCGGCTACAATGGTGCCTTCGAAACCCTAAGGGGTTTGTAACTTGACCGTGTCTAAGACTTGAGGGTCTAGGGGCTGGAAGATGAGGGAACGAAGAATGCTTTAGATTTGACTCGCTGATTGACCTATCCGGTCGGGGATTCACCTGGTCAGGGTTTAAGGGCATCAAGGCTTAACACGGTTTTTGCATAGGATCGGTCGCAATTCCTACATATGCCTTGCTTCCCACGTTGCTTGAAATGTTGACACC